AAGGGTACTAGTTCCCGAACTCAAATGAAGGGCCTAACAATATGTAATAAAGTACTATCCAAACAATTCCAGTTCATACATATGAAAGCAAAAACAGACTCAGAACTGGGCCAATGATGAAACAGTCAGCTTGAGGGTGAAAAACTGGACATATAAGAGGGATATTCACAATTTTTTTCGTTAAAATCTGAAAGAAGCAAACTTCAAGGACAAACTTCAAGACTCGGATCTGGGCAAAGGACGAACCAGTCAGCGTGAGGGTGAAAAACCGGACATGTAGGAGGGATATCCATGATTCTTTTCGTTAAAAACTGAAAGAAACAAACTTCAAAGACTTCATAGTTGGGCTAACAGAACATAAGCTTACCGTGGAAAGCAGTGCGGCCAATGAATAGTGTAATATAACAGCTTTATTCTCCTCATAAATCTGCTTCTGACCACGTGTTGCCGCCTTCGTAACTTTTGCACCACCAACGTTCATTGTCTATTGCTCATGCTGAAAATCGCCAGTGCAATTAATTATTATTCAGTTTAAAATTTTTTAACCCCAGAACTTTTTTTTTCTTGAAAAATGACTATATCTCACGCATGGTATTGCTCATTAGGTACTTGTATATTTAATTAGACGGCGGGGGAAGGAGACGAGAGGGGTGGAGAGGGAAGGGAGGATACCTCATGGGGAGGATACCTCATCACGGACTAGTAGATAGTAACATTCAGGAGGAGGTGCGCTGTGAAGCACATACCAAGAATACTGTGGATCGATCAAAATCTCGCCAATTGCTTCTGTCCAGGATAGCCGCTAAGCCTAGTAACCCAGTCAGAAAATAGATATCAGAATCATCAGCAAAATGGTCAATTCTGGCAATGAAGCACAGAAAGTCAAACCAACTGAAAATGTTTATAGCTAGGAGCAAGTGACCTCCGCCTTGAGTGACAAACAACACAAGAAATCGAAAATCCAAGTAACGGGTGCTCAGACCTCCACCTTTTGTATTACACTGCTTCTGAGAGCAGAACCACTTGAAAAAAGCCTCAATAATGAGAACTTAAGCGTGAACTAACGGTTATTCCAAATACCTTAGGTACTCTTTATTAAAATAAAGGCAGCAGGGTTATCGCTGCGGAAAGCTAGTCCACCTGTTCATAGCCGAAAGTTAGCTTCCGAAATTACTACTCTAAAGAGTACTGCAAGCGCCGGCGATTTCGATTTTAGCATGTCCTTGCTCTCTTCTGATCTTGTAAAATTAGCTTCCAGTAAGGAGCGGATTAAGCGCAGCCAAGAAGGGATGGGGGAGGGTGGGCAAAAACAGATTGGATATGCTAAGTACCACACAAATCCGCTTAGAAAAATCAAAATGTTGGCTGAAGAGGAAGAACAGCAAAAAGTCAAAACTTCAGCTGTACCCAATATTTCAGATAACGCAATCAATTTCTCCTTCAAATTAACATCTCCAGAGAAAATGAATGATAAAAATACAGTTGCTGCTTGCAACACTTTCCACGTACAGTAGCTAACGATAAGCAATTAGCATAAATTTATGGAATTAACAGGTAACACAAACAAA